GGGGGGGGGGGGGGGGGGGCGGGGGAGAAGTTTCAATTGATTTCAATTGGTTTAAACATTGTTTTCAAGAAATGAATTTAGTATTCACCAAATCAGTGGATAGCAAGTTTCGCTCAGCCGTTGGTCGAGCCAGTTGTTTGATTTGCGCACGCCGTCATCAACTGACGTTCCCGTTCTGTCGCTAAATCAGGATCACTGTTTTGGGACGGGATTCAAAATGGCTTCTCGTTTCGCGACAGTTTCGAAAGATGAAATTTTAGCGGTAAATGAAGCAGCTGCACAAACAAATACCAAGAAAGAGGCAAAATTTTCGGTAGAAAAAAAAAATTCTTACAGAATTTGCGACAAAACCATAAAAAAAATGATCCCCGAAACACAGTCAATTGAAACGTAAACAAACTCTTAACTAAGTGACGTCCTTTATTTACAAAAAGTTCGTTTTTTTTATTTTTATCCAACTGATTTGGTAAATACTAAAACAACTATCCCCCTCAGGGTCGGTTCATAGCGGAGCTCTCGCGCGCGAAGCATAGCACCAGGGGTAAGAAAATGTGGTAAACAACCCATCCGAGAAAATTTGGTAATCACGTAACCGTACACCGACCGACCGCCCGACCGTCCGTCCGTACCACAGGTTACCAATGTAACATAACTCAATCAACAAGTTAATGGCAACCCAAATGTAACTCGAGGTTATTTTGACGGGAAATCCAATAGCCACCCGCGTCTTGTAAAGCAGAGACAACTAAAGAGTCAATGAAGACGAAAAAGGAAAGGGAAATTGTCTCTGTATCCGTGTTTTCTAAAGTATTAAGCGTAGATTAATTGTCATGTCAACAAATTTGGAATATAGAGCAAGAGAAACCGAGAAAAAGAGAAAGTAGGCGGCAGGCCAGTGAAGCTCAACGAGAAAAAGGGCGACAGAGATCTAGAGCGAGAGATGAAAAACAAAGGAGACATTTTTTGGTTGGAAGAATAACACGAAAATTTTGTAACGGCGGTGACAAAATGAGAAATGCTAACGGCCACCAATGCAAGATGAAAACGAGCGGCAGTGAAAAAAATTGAACGAGAAAACGTACGACATTTCCTCCATAAAACGTATAACTAAGAAGTTTCTGGAAGTTTCACGTTGTAGTCGTGCAAAACAACGGCAAAGAAATGTACAAAAAAAGTGTGCTGCACGTGCAAAGTTGCTTTTTTGCTAATTAGACCTATTGTTGTTTTTCACCGTTCTCCGGCGTTGCCTTCGCCGCTTAGCATTACACGATTTTATATTTTGTTTGAACAAACAATAAATATTATTGAGAGTTTCGCTTTTAGCCTTGGCTAAATCTATATATTAGCGCTAGATATATATACCTTGACGCTTCGCGTCTCGGTATATTGCCACTATTCACCTCCCCTTCGGGGGATAGTTGTGTATTATTTACTAAAACAGTGGATAGTGTTTTTCTACTCAATCAGTGAATATCCGATGCTATTTACTGATTCACCTCCAGTTCCTCCGAGCGAGCGGCACCAAACTCGCGTAAGTTACGAGCAAAATGGGTTCTCGGTTTTCTGCTGGAACAAATAACGAAATTTCACAAATAATCAAGCCAGCTGTTCCCGAAATACACAAAGAAGGCAACGAAGTTCGGTTTGGAAGGTTTAACAAGTAAAGCTTTGTCATTTGACTTGAATTTATCGATGAAACCGGTGAAAAAGTTTTTTGTTTACAAATGCAAATTAAGCTCAAATCTTACGTTACTTCATTTAGTTGACTTGCTCATCAATAAGCTTGAAGGGACTGTGACACGCTTCTGCGCATGTGCGGCAACTTGATTTCTCTCCGGCGGAGAGTTTTGCAAGATTGGCGATTGGTGAAGAAATCCTCTTCCATCGACCCTGAGACGCCCGAGAGAGCCATAATATCAGTATTCAAGAGCTATTTGGTCCATTTGGGAAGTTTTTAACGCCATATTTTGTACTTTTGTACTAGTATTGTCGAGAAAATTCGAAGTCATTGAGGAGAACCGTACGAAGCCAAGTTCGTTGTTGTCAGTGTTCCTACAAACGGATCAAATGTGGCCTTCAATGTGGTCATCTGGCTTTCACTTCTGCCTATCAAGGTTCTCCAGTCAACTATCTACCTTTGACGGATATTTTTCAAACGATAAATATGTAAAGAGGAGTTAAAAAGGGTTTCCTCGATACAGCTGTGCACTACTAATGGGACGCAGCGGCGACTGAAGCTGATCTGCGACATGACTTCCGATTGTCTGAAGCAATTTAATTTATCGAGTGCCTAGAATCAGAAGGAGAAAACTCAGCAATCTTTTGTTGTACACGAAGTCGTGTGAAGTTTGAGGAGACAAACCATCGAACATGAACGTTTTAACAGGCATTCGATTTATGACTCCGATCCGTAGTTGTACAGTAGAAAGTACTGACAACAGGCCGCGCAATCTTTACTGATGTAGTTCACTGGGAATGTTCCTTGTATCTTTTCTGTATGAGAGTAGATGTTTAAGGATTGACCTTTTAAAAAATAAATTGTTCCCTGAATGTTCCGTTTAACATCTGGTTTCTTTATGTGTTGAATCGATAACGTTTGTTTTGCGGAAAACGCAAGTTATGCAACGACTCGGAAGGAATTTTTTTATTTGTTGATAAGCCGTTGAAATTTATGCCATAGTTATGGGCTCCTGTTTATTCCTTTTTTTGCGTTGTTCTTTTAGAATAATCTTTATACTTATACGTTATGTGGCTACTATTGCAATGAAAGCGTTTTATGATGAAGCGCTAACAACTGCTTTCAAACAATGCTACGATTTTCAGCCGGTATCAATCGACTGAGCTAGCCGACCGCATGGCATGGCTTATTTTATTATAGCGCGCATTTAGCTGGCATTTTAAGCAAAACGTTTCCCTCGTCCTATACTGTGTGTTTTGATCACCGGTCAGGAGCTATTTGCAGGTATTTCTAAGTTTATATAGGGTAAACAGAGAGATCAGTAAGGTTTGTTTACAAATTATTTTTGTTTGCGGATCGGAGACTGGTTTTCTAGCGTGGGTACGTAAAAATACACGTAGGTAAAGGTTTGTTTCAAAGCAGGACAGAGTTGTTAATCTTATTATTATCATCTGCAACATTTATCTGAGGAATACCAGAGAATAAATATGAATTATGGGGATATATATAAAATCGAACATAAACGTCCGGAACACTCCCACTTCGCGAACAATGAATCTTAAATTATGTAAATTTCCTCGCGTGCTGCTTACTCGCTTCCCATTGGTTCAAAGACAATCAGCTACTGTCACAGCTCACACACGCGCACAATCGTGACACAGTCCCTTTAAAACTAAATTTAACAGTCTTTTTTACAAAATGATTTTAATTACAAAAAGAAATCCAACTCCTTTTGAAGAAATTTCCCTACAAGAGCTAAACAAACTTCTTCAAAAGTTTTATTTGTCGGCAAGAAAAATCGTCGCCCGCGGCTGTTCGGAACAGGGGTCTTTTTTGCATGAGCATGCGCGACCGCTGAACAAGCGATGTGCATGGAGGCTCACCACGGGGTTTGCCATCATCATAATGGCGCGCCTCAAATCTATCATAGCGATTATTTTGCTCATTGGTCTTGGCGAATGTGCTCGTGATTTAACAAAATGTGTAGTTTGCAAAAAAAACTCTAACATGGTCTTAACAAAAGCGAAGTAGACCGGCTTTAACATACACGAGCTACTATCAAATTTCATCTCCCCACTTGACCTGGACAACAACGCGCGTATATGTAGTGCCTGGAGGATTGCGCTGACCTCATCAAAGTCTAAACAAAGTGCAAAAACTTTCTATTCCAACTGAAAACGGCGTGGTAGTCGCCCGCTGATCGTTATTAATCCATTCCCGAAATATGGCTAAATCAGCTATTAACAAATTATTGACAGAAATCCTCTACGGCATCGAGAAACTGATTTACATCCGATTTATACACAAACAATAAATAAAGAACATTTTGCTCAATAGCTACGCATCAGCAATGCATTCTATGCCAAACTTTGCGATTCTTAAAGGGGAATCAAGACACGAGTCGAGCGCCAAACAACAACAAGCAGCCATGTTCGTGTCAGACATCCTTGAGAAACTTGCTCTTTCACCTCGTTCAGCGCATCAGTCTCCACTTTAAATCAACAGATCTTTACTTATTTTGTACAACGAAGGCTTTCCTAAGTTCCTGCTACCATTTCAATCTCAAGCAAGCTTTCAAAGTGAACAATTTGGTTCCTATGACTATGCAGCACGGTCGCTGTCACTGGTCGCGTGCTCTTTGACAAGTCAGCGGTCGCGCATGCTCATGCAAAAAAGACCCCTGTTGCTGTTCGGTCATTGCGCGCCACAATTGTAATCGTTGGCAACAGTAAATGAGTGCTCAATTAACTTACTGTTTTAGTATATACTAAAACAATTGTTCACCTCAGTGTCGGTGGCTAGTGGCAATTATTTACCGAGGCGCGCCCTCCACTTCGGTGAATAATTGTTATTTATTTTTTAATTAATTTATTTGTTTCATTTTTAATTCATTCCTTTTAGATTTTGTCCTAAAACATGAATTTAATGAATGAATCTTACAAACCTTTATTTTAGAAAACAGGGATGCCACCAATGTTTGCTTTGTCAAGTTAGATGAAGATCAAGAAGATTGTAATTTTGTCGTGCCGCGTGATCGTGACGGCTGCGACAGTTTGAAGATTTCTGCAGATATAAATGTCATGTTAAACAAAGGATGTGGCTCTAAAGGTAAGCTCCTTGACGACGCACCACCATCCTGCAACGTGCCTTGTTTCAAGATCAGAGAGCGGGGGAAATACTGTTATATTTCTACGCGAAACAGCAATTTCTCGAACAGGGAACACCGAGGAGAAATTACTGTGATTTGAAATTGAAAAAGAGGGTTCCTTGAGTTACGTTAGTATCAGTAACTGTTTTTTTTTCAAAGTGAGTTTAATTCTGTCTGTCTGTTTCATTGTTTTTCTTTATTTTATTCTTTCTTGGGCATAAGTAGAATACGAGTAGGCCTGTCCAGATGTTAATCGACAACTCTCCTACATACTTTAAATTAAGCACACTAATCGACATTAAGTTTTGCAGCAACCTTCAGGAAAACCTGGGAAATTACTATGATCTGTAATAACAAAGATTGCAAGGTACAAGAAAGGGATGTTCGCAATGTCTGTGCTTAGAAACTGTTCATGAGCAACTTTTGACTACATTTTAGGGACCATATGGAGTAATATTTCTTCAGTTTATTAGCACAATCTGGATAGACCTTGTTTGCGACTAGTCACGTTCCTTTTTGGTTTTCTAAGAAAGTAAAGCCAAAGAAAAGAGCGCGACGAAACGCCTTTCGTGAGGAGAGATTTCGCGCGCGTCTCACTACCTCTACGCTTTTCGCCTCGGTTGCTGAATCGAGAGAAATTTGCACCAGCTAAGCATTCAGGCTTCCGGGAAACTGCCCACCTACCCCTCCCCTAAGCCAACATTTTGCCCTAAAGTGAGATGTAAGTGATAATGTTGACTTAGAAGAGGGGTGGGTGGTTAGTTGTCCAGAAACCTAATTGATCCGCGTCGTGCGCCGACCAATTCCCAGGTGCACACATCCCATGATTTTCTTGCTGATACGCTTACTCAGGAACCCTCAGTGATGCCTTTAATTTTCGCAGGGCAGCGCAGAATTTAATGCCTTGTCCACACGTGTCGGGACATCTTTGAAAACAGCGATTTTTTTCTCGGTTTCCGAAAAAGTACGCGTACACTCGTAGCGTATTCGAGTCGTTTTCGTCCGTCCACTTAAAACGGATAAGTCGGCATTTTCAAAAAACTCCTCTTTGGGTGCAGTTTTTGAAAACCTGTGTTTTTTGTGGCCCGAAAACTCCGTTTACGTGTGGAAGGAGGGTTAACCCTTTAAACCCTAAGACCAAAATTGAGAATCTCATTTACCGTTCTTATACTTGTTCAATAGAAGTAGTGAGGAGAATTTGTTGAAATATCAGTTAGACTCGTCTTCCCTGATCATGTACTCAATTCTCATGTCCACTCTGTTTTACATAGCACTGATATTACAAGGAGAAATTTGATGCTTGTCACTCTTAGGGCTTGAANTTTTCTCGGTTTCCGAAAAAGTACGCGTACACTCGTAGCGTATTCGAGTCGTTTTCGTCCGTCCACTTAAAACGGATAAGTCGGCATTTTCAAAAAACTCCTCTTTGGGTGCAGTTTTTGAAAACCTGTGTTTTTTGTGGCCCGAAAACTCCGTTTACGTGTGGAAGGAGGGTTAACCCTTTAAACCCTAAGACCAAAATTGAGAATCTCATTTACCGTTCTTATACTTGTTCAATAGAAGTAGTGAGGAGAATTTGTTGAAATATCAGTTAGACTCGTCTTCCCTGATCATGTACTCAATTCTCATGTCCACTCTGTTTTACATAGCACTGATATTACAAGGAGAAATTTGATGCTTGTCACTCTTAGGGCTTGAAGGGTTAAAACAGAGAAAAAAATCTTCGTTTTGAAAAATATCCGGTAACGTGTTTAGAAACTTAACACTGGAGAGCGAAAACGTTGGCGAAATTTGAATATGTAAGAGTAGCTCATTTTCAATTCTGTTTTTTGCGAAGGTAAATTTTTTGCTATTTTTTACCCGGCACAACTTTTATTTACTTATTGCTTCCTCGGTGAAAACACATTACTTTTTGCAGTAAACATCGACACTTCGCGTTCTTGTGCGTCCAGTTTTCTGCTTTCCTCCTTCCTCCGTTCCGACGCTGGAATCCTGCGTGAGGACGGAGGAAAGCCCCTTAAGTGCCACAAACAGGCGCTTGAAATAAACTTTCAGGCAATGGTTTTCTTAAAAGGTGTGGCAATAGACACTAAGAATATCGCTGTTAATTCTGGGAAGGGTAGTCATGGTAAATACGGGCATGTCACATGACACCTAAGATGATTTTATGTACGACTTCATTCTACCAGAGAAAGCATTCTCGCGAAAATTAAAGGCATTCAATCTACATTATCACTAGTAAGAGTTTTAAAAAGGCTCTTGCTGGATTTATAATAATTTATTTGGGATAAAGGGATAAACTGGAAATCCTTTACGGACCAAGCTGGAAATAGTTTTAGTTTACGCCGAAGAAAGACAAATTGGGAGATAATGGGGATTTACAACAGCACATACAGACAAATATTTAAAAATATTTGTTTTCAATCGTTGTTGTTTGTATGTGGGGGATAACAGGGATCAAAAGACAAGTAGTGGATAAGATAAGAAATAGGTTCAACCTATCAAGCTTAAGTTTAGTTTATTTCGCACTATTCAAGTTGGTACAATAAGATCAATGATGGCTTACAGAATCGGTAGGTTAACAAATGATGAAAAGTAAATATAATATACAGGTTTGTTGATATGTGCACAGTGACCAAAGTAGCCAAAGCTTGCTTATCTTATCCACTACTCAGTTGTCTTTTGAGTTCAAACCCATTTTTCGGGCAGTGTAATTCTTGCACGGATATGATATTTAAAGGGAATGGGAAATAAAAAGTAATCAAGATAAATTCAGTTTGATAGTAATTTACTGGACAAGGGATTATACGTTGAGGTAATCAAAAGGCGTAAGTCATTTAACAGTTGTATGTCATTAAAGATATTAATAAAATGAGGTATTTAAGGGAAAACTACGTCCTGTTAATTTTGATTGTCTGTTTTACGCTGGATTACAGTCATGTGATGTAATCAACATTCATGGGTAGGAGATATCAGTCGTTTTAAGATTGTTGTCGCACAAACTTGCGTTCGCTCTAGGGCGAAGGGCATCCGGATTCTGGAATAAGGAAAATTTTTCTCCTGGAGTCCGGAATCCTTGGCTTTGGAATCCGGAATAAAGCTTACGGAATCCGGATTCGACTAAAGATTGGAATCCAGAATCCAAGTTCCATTGACAAAGGGTGCGTTCCTTAGGGATGATCCAGATAAGGATCAATGATCCGAGATCACTGGGATCATGGTAGAACAAATGAACTGATGAATCCTTGTCCAGAGTGGATTCATCGGTTCATTTGATCTACCATGATCCAAGTGATCTCGGATCACTGATCCTGATCCGGATCATCTCAAAGGAACGCACCCAAAGACTTTGGAATCCATTACCTGGGATCTGGAATCCGTGGCGTGGAATCTATGGGGCGATAGAATCGAGATCCAAATGCAAAAACAAATAACAAACAACGAGGTATCGGGGTTCGAATCCCCGAAGCGTGCGTGTGTGTCTGTATTCGGCTTACTAGGGTTTCAGTTGCCTCCCCCCAATAGACCTCTTTAGCTTGTAAGTTTTGTTTTCTCATTAAAGGTCCCAGGGCAACTAGACATACAAAACATGATGGTAAAAAAAAAAGGTTTGTTTATACGTGGGCGCATTTATTTGGAATCAATATCCCGAGAATTTGCATGAATACAAGTCGTTGAACCGATTTAAATGTAAATTGGACCGCTTGCATCCCAGCTTCTTTGATTCTTTACTATAATATGAAGATCACAGATTTAATATCTCTGATGGTTATTGATATATTTTAATGCACGGCTAAGCGTGCGTTAAAAGAAAAATGTTTGATGTAAACCAGTGCTTGTATCTGATACAGCTACTTTATTGAGTATGATAAAAATGACGAGATATTTGAAGCGTAGGTACCAAGAAAAAAAACCGGTTGACGTCATAATTGAGCAAACAAACACACAACTGTTTTTGCGACAATTCATACTTCAAAAGTACTCAGCAGTGTAGTTTCGTAGCCGAGTTAAAACTTGCGTAAAGGGCCTGCGCTAAAAGTAATTACATTCATTCAGCTCGTCTCGGGAGCTTCAACCTTCCTATCCAGAACGAGGTTGCATTTTCAGCGCTGTTTGTAATGAATAAAGAACTTTAATTCATCCTCGTCCCCAGGCCAATTCGGCTTGTGCGAGTGAGTGGGGAAGCCTTGGAACCGAGCGCGATAGTGCTAGCACCGCTGGTAAAAAAGGTAGGTACCGAAAAACTGTTCGACGAAAATTTTCCCTTTTTTTCGTGAGAATCATGGAATTTTTCGGATGCATGAGTCAGATGTATCCTTTCGCAACACTTGTGGCTCTTTTTAAATTGGAGGAACAAACTGTGGTGACCGTTTGTTTTCCTTGCAGAAGCGCCGCCATTTGTGACTTTAGCGATTATTGCTGCGCCTCCTAGGGAGAGACCATTTTGCAGCTGTGGGCTTAGTACTCTAGCCTTCGAGTGAATGTAAGGCTCGGTCTGACCATGTTTTGAATCACATTTGTTTGTTATGGAACCCACCCACTCCAAAAACTGTTGTTATGGGTGTATTTTACCCTTGGTTATCATCGTGTTTACCTTTGTGTTTACGTCATTATCATACATTACCTTTCCTTAAAAACAAAGGAAACTAAAGGAATAAAATTCGGCTGCAGGATATATTCTTTTTTTATAAGCACCTAACCCTTCCAGGATAAAGCAACAACCATTACCAAAAAAGTAAGACCTCTTTAAAACTGCTGTCATAATTTATTTATTGATTTAATAAATCGATCAAATAAACTTATATTGTATGTTAGCATTTACCAAATCAGTGAATAGGAATTTTTGCACGTTTTGATTGGCTCCCGTAACTCGGAATCTCCTTGGCTTTTCACTGTTTTGCGACAGGAGCCAAGATGGCGTCTTGTTTCGAGACATTTTCGAAAGACGAAATTTGACTGATAAATAAAGTAGTCGTAGAAACAAATACCAAGAAAGCGACGAACTTTGGCTTATCGTTGTTTACTGGTAGGTAGAAAATTGTTTTCTGGCTGAATTTGCAACAGAAACGTAAAAACGAACTTGTCAAAATCCCCGAAATGTTTTTAAATTAAACAAACTTCATACTAAGTGANCATTTGTTTGTTATGGAACCCACCCACTCCAAAAACTGTTGTTATGGGTGTATTTTACCCTTGGTTATCATCGTGTTTACCTTTGTGTTTACGTCATTATCATACATTACCTTTCCTTAAAAACAAAGGAAACTAAAGGAATAAAATTCGGCTGCAGGATATATTCTTTTTTTATAAGCACCTAACCCTTCCAGGATAAAGCAACAACCATTACCAAAAAAGTAAGACCTCTTTAAAACTGCTGTCATAATTTATTTATTGATTTAATAAATCGATCAAATAAACTTATATTGTATGTTAGCATTTACCAAATCAGTGAATAGGAATTTTTGCACGTTTTGATTGGCTCCCGTAACTCGGAATCTCCTTGGCTTTTCACTGTTTTGCGACAGGAGCCAAGATGGCGTCTTGTTTCGAGACATTTTCGAAAGACGAAATTTGACTGATAAATAAAGTAGTCGTAGAAACAAATACCAAGAAAGCGACGAACTTTGGCTTATCGTTGTTTACTGGTAGGTAGAAAATTGTTTTCTGGCTGAATTTGCAACAGAAACGTAAAAACGAACTTGTCAAAATCCCCGAAATGTTTTTAAATTAAACAAACTTCATACTAAGTGACTTTTTTAATTTACCAAAAAGTGACTTTTTTTATTTTTTATTTTTTCGAACTGATTTGGTAAATACTAAAACAACTATCCCCATCAGGGTCGGTGAACAGCGCTAGATATATACCTCGACGCTTCGCGTCCCGCTTTTCCCACCACTATTCACCTCCCCTTCGGGGGATAGTTGTATAATATCGTTCTCTCTCTATTTATTACTGCACATATCGATGCTAGGCACTCGGGAAAGGGGCGAAGAGGATACAACTGGGGATAATGATGAACACCAAGTACAGATATATTCATTTTCTCCCTGCCTCCCTACCCAACTTCATCATCCCCCCCCCCCCCCCCCCCCCCCCCAAGGGGGGTGGGAAAGGCGAGTTTTATGGCGGCCCCCCCCACACAAAAGTGTTTTTTTTTTTTTTTTGTGTGTGTGGGTTTTCTGGTTTTTTTTTGCATGCTTTCTTGTTTAATATAAAGAAGAAAAACAAAAAAAAAA